GACTCGAAACCAAATCTAAAAGAAGGATTAAAGGGGCTCCTGTAAGATAAGAAGGAAAACACTTATAAACACAACCAACCCGTACAGAAACATGGCACAAAACCCCATGACAATAATCTCTCTCAATGTCAATATTCTAAATGCACCAATGAAGAGAGACAGAGTGGCAAAATGGATCCAGAAATAGAAGCCAACATTCTGTTGTCTAAAAGAAATCCATCTGAACAATCAGAGCAAACACAGACTCAAAGTTAACGGATGAAAAACAAACCTGCAAGCAAACCACTCCCTCAAAAAATCTGGGGTGGCCATATAATTGTCCAACAACATAAATTTCAGGTTGAAAAAGATTAGAAGGGACAGCCAAGGCCATTTCTATTTATCAAGGGATACGGACAACAGGAAGAAACAACACTCTTAAATGTATACACACCTAATGGGGGACCAGCTAAATACTTAAAACAACTGCTAAAAGATTTTAAGGACGACATTGCTATCAACACAATAGTAGTTGGAGACTTCGACATCGCCTTATCAACTCTGGATAGATCAACAAGAACAAAACTCAACAAGGAAACATGGCTTTGAAGGAAGAAATAGAAGAAAGTGGGCTAATAGACTTATACAAAAAATTTGTAAATCTACAACTGTACCTCATGGTGTTTCACTAATAAAAATCTAAATAAAAAAGAGACAATTAAAGATTAATAAAATGTTCTGAATTTAAAAATAAATAAATAAAAACAAACAGAAAAAAAATTATAGACCTATACAGGGCTTTATACCCCATAAAGAAAGAATACACATTCTTCTCCAGTGCACAGGCACCATTTTCCAAAATAGACCACGTGTTAGGCCACAAAACATACCTCAGTAGAATCAGGAAGATAGAAGTAGTATCAACAATCTTTTCAGAGCACGATGTGTTGAAGATAGAAGCGAATAACACAAAGACATCAAAAAAAATCAAACACTTGGAAATGAAACAACTCAATGTTGAACACTGAGTGGATCAAGAAGGAAGTCAAAGACAAAATCAAATGATACCTGGAAACAAACAAGAATGATGACACGAGCTACCAGAACCTACGGGACGCAGCTAAAGCCGTGCTAAGAGGAAAATTTATAGTGTAGGAAGCATTCCCAAGGAAAGAAGAAAGGGCCTACATAGATAGCCTAACCACACAGCTCAAGATTTTAGAAAAAGACCAAGAAAACGAACCCAAAATTGGCCAAAGGAAAGAAATAATAAAACTTAGAACAGAAATTAACGACATGGAAACCCCCCCCCCCAAAAAAAAAAACAACAAAACAATTCGAAAGGTCAAAAAACCAAGAGCTGGTACTTTGAGCAAATAAATGAGATTGATAAACCACTAGCAAGACTCACAAAGAGAGAGAACCCTAAAAAACGAATCAGAAATGAAAAATGGGACATCACAACAGAAACCAATGAAATCCAAAAGATCATCAGAGACTATTTAGAGAGTCTGTATGGCACAAAACTAGAGAACCAAGCAGAAATGGATAAATTCCTGGATTCCTATAATCTCCCAAGGTTAAACCAGAAAGACTTGGGATACCTGAATAGACCCATTCATATCAAGGAAATTGAAGTGGTAATCAAAAGTCTTCCCAAAAACAAAAGCCAAGGCCTAGACAGGTTCACTTAATCACTTACTCACTTAACTTCCCGTTAGTCGTCGATTTGCTCGAGTGGGCGCCAGTAACATCTCCATTTGCCCTGTCGCGTACTAGTGTAGCCCAATGACATCTGTTCGCTCCGGGAACATGAAGGGCGTCAAACCGATCGTTCATGATCTTGACGAAGAAGTCTGACCATCTGGTAGGTGGGCGGCCACGTGGTCTTTTGACATCCCGTGGAATCCAGTCGGTAACAGCTCTAGTCCAGTGGTCGTCTTTAAATCTCATTACGTGACCAACCCATCTGATTTTCGACACCTTGGCAAATGAGACAGCGTCCCTGATTCTTGATCGTCGACGGATGTCAGAACTCCGGATTCTTTCTCTCATTTGAGTGAAACGTGATATTCCAAGCATAGCTCTTTCTATTCTTCTTTGGGAGACCTGAATAGCGTTCTCATCTTGTTTGCTTAGGGCCCAGGTCTCTGAGGCATATGTTAATGCAGGAAGAACAGTGGAATCAAAGAGATGTGCCCAGAGCCGGAGGCTCTTCGTCCTCTTAGATATTTCTTCGACGTTCTTGAAAGCGTTCCAAGCCGCTCTCTTCCTCCTGCACAGCTCGGGTGCCAGGTCATTTGTCATGTTGACCTCTCGACCTAGGTACACATAGCTGTTGCATTCTGAGATGGTCGTTCTGTTGAGAGCGAATGGGGCATCAGGAACGAGGCTGTTTCTCATAAACATTGTCTTCGCAAGATTCAGCTGCAGTCCTACCTTTCCACACTCACGGTCAAAGTCGGACAGCATTTATGCCGCTTGGCTGATATTTGGTGTTATTAAAACAATGTCATCAGCAAAGCGGAGATGGTGTAGTTGCCGACCATCTATCTTCACTCCCATTCCTTCCCATTCTAGTCGTCGCATGATGTTCTCGAGGGTGGCACTGAAGAGTTTCAGTGAAATGGTATCACCGTGCCGAACCCCTCTCTTGACATCAATGATCACTTCTTTGTAGAATGGTGAGATCCTGGTAGTGAATCCACAGTACAGCTCACGGAGGATCCTGATGTATTGGGCTTGAATGCCCTGATTGGCTAGGGCTTCAATGACTGCTTCCATCTCAACAGAATCAAAGGACTTCTTTAAATCAATGAACGTTAAACAGAGCGGCATCTTGAACTCCCGAGAAACCTCAATGAGCTTGGTTATCGTGTGGATATGGTCGATGGTGCTGAATCCTTTGCGGAACCCGGCTTGCTCGCATGGTTGTCCTTCATCTAGTGTTCTGCCAATCCTATTTTGGATGACTCGAGTGAACAACTTGTAGGGCGATAGTTGCCAATGTCATGGATGTCTCCCTTCTTGAACAGTAGTACGGTCCTGCTGGTTTTCCATTGGGACGGAACCTTGCATTCAGACAGGTAGCGAGTGAAGAGCCGAGCCAGTGTATTGATGAGTACTGATGGCAGGTTCTTCAGGTGTTCAGGTCTGACCTGTCTGGGCAGGGTGCTGTTTGTTTCTTTACCGACGAAACGGCATGTCGGATTTCCAAAGGGAGAACGTTGGGAACGACATATCCATCCTGTGGAATTTGGTATGTCGGCAAGTGGACATGGCTATCGAAGAGATTTGAGTAGAAGTCATGGATAATCTTCTCCATTGCCGTTCTGGAGGATGTGATGGATCCATCAGGACGTCGGAGGGCAGTCATCTTGGTCTTGTAGTTGGCAAAGGACAGGCAAGCGTTACGAATACTTTTCCCGGATTTTGCCGCATCTACCAGTACTTTTGCTCTTCTCTCTTTGAGGTCTTCCTTGATCGCATCTCTGCACTGCTTTGCGAGCTCGGACGTTAACTTGCGGTTGCCTGAGTCATGCGCCAAACCACGCTGGCGAATTAGCTCAAGAGTTTTCGAAGATAGGCGATTTTTTCTGGCTATCTCTCTCTTGGCGTTCCTCGTGAATCAGACAGGTTCACTAGTGATTTATTCCAACATTTAAAGAAGACCTTTGTCCAGTTCTCCTCAAGCTTTTCCAGAAAATGGAAAAAACAGGAACTCTCCCAAACTGCTTCTATGAGGCACATAACTTCCTAATACCCAAAGCAAACAAAGACACTACCAACAAAGAAAACTATAAGCCAATATCCCTGATAAACACGGATGCAAATATCCTCAACAAAATATTAGCCAATAGAATCCAACAACTCATCAAATAGATCATATACCATAACCAAGTGGGATTCATTCCCAGGATGCAAGGATGGTTTAACATTTGGAAATCAACATAATTCATCATATCAACAAAAGTAAAGATAAAAACCATATGATCATATCAATAGACACAGAGAAAGCTTTTGACAAGAGCTAGCACCCGTTTATGATGAAAACTCTCACCAAAATGAGTTTTGAAGAAACTTTCCTCAAGATAATCAAAGCCATCTATGACAAACCCATGGCAAGCATTATCTTCACTGGGGAAAAACTAAGGGCCTTTCCTCTAAGATCAGGGACAAGATAAGGATTCTCACTATCACCACTTCTGTTTAACATAGTACTGGAAGCACCTGCAATAGTGATTAGGCAAGAAAAAGACATTAAAGGAATCCAGATAGGAAAGGAAGAAATCAAGCTCACACTAATCACAGATGATATGATACTGTATCTCAAGAATCCTAAATCCTCTACTAAGAAACTCCTAGAAACAATAGTCTTGTACAGTAAAGTCCAGGCTATAAAATCACAGCCCCCAAATCCATGGCCTTCCTATATGCAAATAATCAGAGAGAGGAAAGTGACATGAAAAAAATAATCCCGTTCACAACTGTGCCCAGGAAAATCAAATACCTTGAAATCAGCCTAACTAAAGAGGCAAAGTATCTCTACAATGAAAACTACAAAAAGCTACTCCATGAAATTAAAGAGGACACGAGGAAATGGAAACATATCCCCTGCTCATGGATAGGAAGAATTAACATCATCAAAATGACAATACTCCCCAAAGCATTATACAGATTCAACACGATCCCTATAAGATACTCATGAAATTCTTCAAAGAAATAGATCAAGCACTCCTGAAATTCATATGGAACAACAAACGCCCACAAACAGCTAAATCAATTCTTGGGAAAAATACGTGGGGAGGCATCACCCTCCCCAACCTCAAATTCTATTACAAAGTGGTAATAATTAAAACAGCATATAAATAAATAAATGCTTGGTAGAATTTTCAATTTGAAGATTACAGAAAGAAGCATTAATAAATAAAACACAATGGGTAAATGATAAAGATAATTTTTCTCAAGTACTTTCAATTTTTGTAAGTAATATTTACATTTGATAAATTATGTATACTAACCTCTTTTCATCTGTCAACTCTTCAGATTTCTGGAATTTTTCAGGAACTTTTTCTTTTCCCTTATACAAAAAAAAGTTATAGTTTTAAATGTTACACTCCACTTTTGTGAAATCAAGGAAAACATGAGTATTACTTGTTGAATGTTTACTTTACCTTAAAAAAAGAGACAAAGGATCCCATATGTGAATCTCCTGGTTCAGGAACTGCTACATCTTCTGTAGTGTGGTCAATAAAATCATACACCTCCTGGTCTAAGTATAGATAATTTATTAGAATATATAAATAGCAAACTGTGCTCTGACATGCAGTGCTTAGAACAGAAGTATATATTTCTCATTATAAAAGCTGCCCAAATAAATCAGAATTTTTCGACTTTCTCTTTAAACTCATGTTCTCCCTCGAACATGTATTTCTCTTGCTTGTCTCTTTGTTTCTTTGCTTTCTTATTTCCACCCTGGAAAAGCCTGTGTTCTATTTTGAACATGTACTTCTCCCTCACTCCCCTCACGAGATCTTTCTTATAAGTTTCAATAAAAACTTTCTTGCTTTGCCAAAAAAATCAAAATTTTAAAAACAAACTTTAATTACAAATTCCATTTTAATGAGGACTATATACATAAAATATATAGAACATAAATTACCTTTATGAAAATCCGGTTTACTTCCTGTAGCATGACTGTCATTTCTTAATGTCTGCTCTCTATTTGATTCTGAGACTTGAGAGTGAAGGCTGATTGTGTCATCATCTGATGGCTAAAAGGAAAAAGTACAAAACAGGCATTTTTAATATGATAAGGGTTAAGTTGATTTACTTTCACTTGTGACATATAGAATATCTGTTTTACATTCCAGGTTTTCACACCAAAAATTAATATTAAAGTTCACTGATTTGCTTTTAAAATGTACATGCTCTTTCTTCCATAAAATGCAATAATGAGCACATTTTTGGGCAATCCAGAAACCTAACATGTGGGCAAATATCTCTTTTAAAGTACATCACAATTTCAAAATCGAACAGGTCATCAATAAAAATACTCACTTCTGTTGTAGATAGTCGCTTCTCTCCATTATCACTTCCAATGCCAGAGTCAGGACCATGATTTTTATTTGGATAAAAATCTTCCATACTATGGAAATAGAAAATCTAGTGGTAATTAGGATTTTCTTCTTAAATAATAGGCTTGGCATAAACTTTCCTAGATAGAACAAAATATATACTTTAAAAATACTTGTGGGCTAGAGAGATAGTACAGAGGTTTTGGTGCTTGTCTTTCATGCAACTGACTCTGGTTCAATCATTATCACCCCCTATGATCCCATGATCACCACCAGGAGTGACCCCTGGCCACAGAGTCAGTAGTAAGGGCTAAGATAGCTGTGTACAATTCACAAAAAAAATGACAAAAACAAAATTGCTTGTGATGGCTAAGATCTTTAAGAATACAAGAAAGAAAATAGAAATTTTCCTACAAAACTTTGTATTTCCCACACATTATTTTTTCTTTCATAAATTCTATTGTAAAGTGACAATTGTCAACAAAAGCCCATTACTTCTGAAAAACTCAGAAAAGCAAATAGTTCTAGTAGAAATCATAATCGCAATACGTGCACCCCCATGTTTGATGAAGCAGCATTTAAAATAGTCAAGAACTGGAATCAACCAACATGCTTATTAACAAACAGCTAGGAGAAGAAGATGTGGCATGTATACACAACGGAATGCTATTCAGCTATTAACAAGATAAAATATTACTATTTACATCAATATGGATGGACCTAGAGGGCATTATACTTAGCAAAGAAGATGGAGAAAGACAAAAAATATATATTTTCACTCATGTGTTGTATATGGAGAAAATAAGCAGATGAACTAAAAAAAATTAAAAATAAACCTTTGCACTAGAATGGTGATCTAAAGCCAATTAATGGTTTTTACCCAAAAGGAAGGGGGAATGGAAAAGCAAAATGGTTATGAAGAATCTACTGTACAGTGAAGGACAATTTTAGTGGTTATCTTCATGTAGTAAGTTGATTTTTAGTGGTGCATACTTGAAACTTGCATAATGTTATATTTGATGCTACATGAATTTTAAAAATCTAAAGCAAAATCTTCATACAAAATGGAGTACTATGTAGCTGTTAGAAAAGATGAAGTCGACACACAGCAGCAAAAAAAAATCGGCTGAAGGGCCCCACACCTCCCGGAGAATTCTTCGGGTCCCATACAGAGCCGATATCACTGGGAGGTCCCAGATGGGGTAGGTGCTGTCTACCCGCCTTCTCCAGATGAAATCTCAGTGACCATGAGCTTCTACAAGCATGGCTCTGACATGTGGTTACCATAACTATTTTCTGAACCACAATGGGGCCGCCCCGACTCCAAGGCAACCTCTGATTCCTGAAGTCATGCCCACAACCTGCCCCCATCGCCATCTTACAGTACACAGAAGTGAAGAAGAAAGCCAGCTGGAAGGCCCCACAGCTCCCGGAAAATTCTCCAGTCCCCATACAGAGCCAAGAACACCGGAAGATCCCAGATGGGGTAGCTGCTATCTCCCCACCTTCTCCAAATGGAATCCCAGTGACCATGAGCCTCTACAAGCATGGCTTTGGCATGCGGGTACCAGGGCTATTTTCCAAATGTTTCCTACTATGAAAAGTGATCTATGGAAAGTAAATGATCTAGCATTTGTCCTGAAAATCAGGCTTGAATGGTGGTGGGAAAATCTGAGCAAAAGATAATGCCCAACCAAAATACATCTGGACTGTGTATTTAACTATGGCGCTATGCTGTCCTGGGAGGGGAAGGATGTCTGTCCCTCCACCTGTCCTGCTTTGTGGCGGCGACATGATAGCCTGCATCTTTTAGAGCCTAATTAATAGCCAGGTATGAGACTGCATTAACGAGGCACTTGGGGCTTCGTGGGATAGGGGGTGGGATCAGCCCTGGTCCCTGCCATGACAATGCTCCAGGTTGCCACCCTCAAACACCTCCTCCAGCTTCTGACTGACCATGAACCCAGAGGCACACATGCCAATCTTGGAACCGAGGGGCTTCTGGCAGTAATCCCTCTAGGTTTATTATTAAAATATCAGAAATCCAAATTCACGTGGCTGCTATTGTGGCCACACAACATCATATGTTCTTCATAATCAGCAATAGAAAACAAATTTTTTAATGATGTCTTTGTGGCAGGTCTAAATGTAGGGGAAAATTCCAAGTAACAATGTTGGGTCTTTTGTCATAATATTGAATGTAATCAACATAGAGAATAAAATAGAAATCTAGCACACAGCTGGGAGTGGGTGGGAGGGGGTTATACTGGGGCTCTTGGTGGTGGGAAATGTGCACTGGAAAATGGAGGGGTGTTTGATCATTGTATGTCCGACCGAGACTTGAACTGAAAGGCTTTGTGACTGTTCTCATGGTGATTCAAGAAAGAAAGAAAGAGAAAGAAAGAAAGAAAGAAAGAAAGAAAGAAAGAAAGAAAGAAAGAAAGAGGAGAAAAGAAAAGAAAAGATGAATTCATAAAATTTACATACCAGTGGTACTACATGGAAAGTATCATGCTAAGTGAAATGAGTCAGAAAAAGAGGGATAGACATAGAAAGACTGCATTCATCTGGGGAACATAAAGTAACAAAATAGGAGACTAACACCCAAGAAGAGCCGAGATAAGTACCATGAGTTTACTCCATGGTTTGGAGGCCAGCCGCACACATTAGGGGAAAAGGCAGCTAATATAGAGAAGGGAGCACCAAATAAAGGGTGTTGGGAGGATCCTCCCAGGATGGGAGATGCATGCTGAAATGAGATTATTGACCAAACTTGATTGCCATTCAATGCCTCTTTTGCAAACCACAGCACCCAAAAGGAGAGAAAACAAAAGGGAATGCCCTGCCACAGAGGCAGGGTGGAATGGGGGTGTGGGGGTGGGAGGGATACTGGGATATGTGGTGGTGGAGAATGAGCACTGGTGGAGGGATGGGTACTCAATCATTCTATAACTGAAACCCAAGCACAAAAATCTGTAAGTGTACAACTGTACCTCATGGTGTTTCACTAATAAATTTTTTTTAAAAAATCTAAAGCAAAATCTTAATTATTATCATGATACAAGACACTTCTCTTTTCCTTACTGGTTTGGCAAATGTCATCATAGGACTTTGAAATACTTTTAAATTTTAATTAGCAGTTTCTTCATTCTTAGCACTAAAATACAATTTGGCCTTATAAATAATATTCATCTAGTAACTGTGAAAAGAACACAAAAATATATGCAAAGCTCTGAATTTATTTTTTCTGTGAAGATTGATTTGAACTTGCAAATTTATGAATTTCAATATGCCATCAGGTTGCAAAGTATTTTTACTTTATTTGCAAATTTTGCATAGACTATACCTTCACTACATATGCATCAGAAACTGGGCTAAGTATTTTAAAGACTACTAACTAGTTTAAAGACAATCCTTGAAAGTACACTATTGATTTGTACTGCCTAATACAAAAGGCCATTTAGCTATATTAAGCAATTAAAAAGTGCCTAGTCGAAATGAAACAAGTTGGGAATGTAAACTGTACACCAGATTTCAAAGGTTTAAAAAAGGAAAACATATGAAACTCTTAATTTTTGAAATTTCAGGTTCTTACAAGATTTTAGATACATTGGTATAAATAATATAAAACTAAAAATATAATATAAAAGACAATTTTACTTTTTAAAAAGTAAAATTATGTTTTATAGAGTTATAGCACAGTGGGTAGGTCGTTTGTCTTACACACAGCTGACCGGGGTTAGATTCCTCTGTCCCTCTCAGAGAGCCTGGCAAGCTACCGAGAGTATCCCACCCACACGGCAGAGCCTGGCAAGCTCCGCGTGGCGTATTCAGTTTGCCAAAAAACAGTAACAACAAGTCTCACAATGGTGATGTTACTGGTGCCCGCTCAAGCAAATCAATGAACAATGGGAGGGCAGTGCTACAGTGCTTTACTTTTTAATTATTAATTTTACTTTTTAATAGTAAAAATAACTTCATTGTAATAACATAAAATTAAATCATAAATTTGCTTTTTAATTGTTTGCAAAAGTGTTTAAACTACATGTGTACTTACATTACATATATTTTGGAGAACACTGCTAGAAGACCACCACAGAAATATATTCTGCCCACTACTTCTCATCTCTGTTGCAATAACCCTATTCATGACCCTTTATCTCAGCAGCACTGCAATTTTTGTTTTCTTTTAATCTGCTTTCCTTCAGAATCAAAATAAGTTCTTAAAACACAAATTAGACATTATTCACCTATTTCAAACTATTCAATAATTTCCCAATGTAAACTTTACAGTCTCCCAACTCATCCCTCCAACATTCCTTGAGCCCTACGTATGCAAAACCAATTTAGACCATTCTACCATTCAGCTACTTTGCTCAAACATTACTAGTTTCCTTTCAATTTTTATTAAAACCACTTTTGTAAACTTAAGGCTTTCCACAATCCACACCTGCCTGAAATACTCTTCACCCAATCTATATTAGAACAACTCATTTTTCTTTGCTGGTCTAAACTTGAAGCTTCATATTTCAAAAGAGCTATTCTCTAAACTACCCTTTTGAAAAAATATCCCTTTCCTTCACAGGGCTCACCGAACTTGAAATTGTTCAGTCCGGACTCCTCTTTCACTAGCTAAGTTACATGGCAGCCAAGAACAATGAGTGCATCATTCAATAAACACTCCAAATAGATCAGAAAACACTCAACTGTATTTATGAAGTAAACAAATGGTTCATACTGTAAATGATACTAATATAGTTTCATATACAAAGAGGCAAAGCAGACTGATAGAGACTAGAATACTAATTCATTCTTACTTTTTGTAAAATTGCTTGATTCCACTATAATTCATAATATTAAACAAAATAATCCACATATTATTGGGAAACTAAAATATTCAAGAAAATGTCTGTTTTGGAAATTCAAGAATTTTCACTGCAATAAAGTGAACAATATAGTGTGAGCAGCATAGTGTGGTAGTATAGCACAAACTATACTACCATGTAAGTAGTATAAACTTTTTTATAAGTATGACGTATCTTTCAATATTTTAGGCAGGGCCATATTCTCGCTTTCGGTACTCTCACCTCAGTCAAATTATTTTACATATTAGTGGATAAATGTTTTTATAAGATATTTCAGACTAATATGCATCTAGAAAGCATGTATTTAAAACAATATGACGTACTATTTCAAAATTTCATGTGGGGTAAAACATCAATGACACATCATCTTGAACCAAAAGACATTAGAAAAGTATAAAGAATACAAATAAGGGAAGAGTGGTCTTTCTTTTTCAATGTTAGTCAATGACAAATTCAAATTATAAATAGACGATAAAGGGATCACATGAGTAAATTCAATTGCAAGTGCCAAGAAATTAGTGTTTCTGCATTATAATGGCAAATGGTCTCTAATCTACTAAAGTGTTCATGTTTTTTGAAAAAAATATTCACAATTTATTCTAATATCCCAAGAGTTTAGTTAGTGATGATAGTTTAAATATCAAACACTGATTTCAAATACTCAGTCAAATACTGAATTCAACACACTGGCCAATCAGTCTAAGTATATACAATACACCAAATATTGATTAACTCTTAGAGGACACCAGTCCATCATGAAACAAGGCATTACCTGTCTGTGAGAGGTTGGGATGGCATTCGTTTACTTAATGATGGAAGATCCAATGAATCTGGTTTCTTGTCCATTCTGCAACATGCTTGTATATTTAAATATTTAAATATGTGTACTTTACCCTTTAAACATATCTGTCAACAAATAATTAGAAGATTTAATTGTATAGGACCAAATATGAATTATATGTAATAATATTTTTATAATTTTCATAATCTCACATTATTTGGGAACATTACAATCACTACATTTTGTGTACTCAAATATATTAATATGTATATGCACACTTCTCATATTAGATGGAAAAATATGTTAAAATGAACACAAACTGTAGGATAACAATGTTTTTGTCCTTCCTGCATAGCCTCAGGTAGTTTAGGTTTATTGGGTTGCTCCCATCACAGTGCTCCCTTTCCTCTGTGTTTATTTGTAACTTCTTTCTTTGTGCTCTGTTGACTTGTAAATATTGTTTTTCTCTTCTCCCTAAGTCCTTTGCATTCAGAGAAATATTCAGAGAAATGTCCTTTTTGTATGGACACAAGAAGACAGTATATGCTATGCTTTTGTAATGTGACTCTCAGTGATATTTCCCTCCTGGGCATCTGTTCTCTCAATTAAGCTTCAGCTGCCTTTACTTCCTAGCACCCCCAAAAGCAGGGTCCCGACAAAGGGACTGGATGAAACCAGGGCAAGCGGTAAGCTATGTGCTACACTGGCATCGAGATGGGCCTGGCCAACGCACCATAATGCTTAACTATAAGTTAAGAGCTTGGTCATGGACAAATGCTGTCATGATCCAAAAAGTAATAACTAGATTTGGACCCTGCTAGAGCTAGGAATGATTAATCTGGCCTGAGCACTGTAGTCTGAGTCTGTGGCAAGGTGTTCCCAGGAGAGCTGCCCTACAAGCCTCAATGGTATCTCTTACTGTGTCCATACAAAAATTACTGGTATTAAGATGCTGGTAGAGTTATTGGACTGAGGGAAGGAGAAAAACACCTTAGGAGGTATTTTGCCCTTGGGCTGTCAGGAAGGGCTTTGGAATAACTTTTAGGTGGTGTTTCTTTTGAACTTGGTGGGCCCTCAGGAAGGGTTTTTTTTTTTATGTTGATTTGTCTACCAGACTGAGTGCAGTGTCATCCCAGAGTGCTGGAGAGTTGGAGAGACAGGGGAGAGAGTGAAAGAGCAGGGCTGTGAAATGGAGTGCGGAGATACTAGCAAGGGGGACAGAGGGAGAAGAATGTAGAAGTAGAATATAGGAGCAAGCATGTGGAGAGAGAGATCCCAGGCTGCTAGATGGAGCGTGGAGAGATGCTCGGGAGAGACAGGAGGAGACCGGACTGTGGTGCAGTGTGAGACTAGAATGGGAGGCTCAGAGAGACTGGGGCAGGCGCATGGGGAGAATGGAATAAATGGCAACTGATCAAGCAACCGGCTTGGCCCTTGTTTCCTCGTTTCCTCCACCTGGGCTGCCCTTGCTGGGGGAGCGGCCCGGGCCCACCCAGAATGCGGGCGGCTAGGGAAGAGCCACCGGCCCCCCCTCCCCCGGACTCCCCTAAAGAATTTATACAATAAACTAAAATTTTACTCCCTTCACCATTCTTATTAGAAGAAATTAATTTTTACTGCATTTTACACGTTTTCCTGTTAAAAGCACAACATAGAAAATGCTACAGAACATATAATTCAGGAAAGCTATCTTTATTAGAAAAATAAAAGATATTCATTTATTGTAGTTGTGAGAGCAGAAAAGAATAACCCATGTAACTTTTTCTTTCGGGATGGAGGTGTTGGGCACACCCAGAGGTACCCATGGGCTATTCCTTGCTCTGTGCTCAAGAATGATCCTGGGGCCAGAGCAATTAGTACATAGGATAGGGTGGTTTGCCTTGCAAGAGACCGACCGGGTTCAATCCCCAGCATCCCAAATGGTCCCCAGAACACCACCAGAAGTAATTCCTAAGTGCAGAGCCAGAAGTAACCCCTGAGCTTGGCTGGGAGTGACCCAGAAATTATTCCGGCAGTGCTTGGGAGGCCACATGAGGTATTGAACCAGGGTCAGTCACGTACAAGGCAAGTAATCCATGTACTATCTCCTTAATCCATGTACTATCTCCCCAAGTGCTTAACTCCTGTACTATCTCTGCAGCTATCCATATTAAATCTTTAAAGTTCATTATAACCATTAGGTTAGTTAATATATATAGTAAACACAAGAAGAAAGCTAAAATCAAGGAAATGCAAATGTAAGAAAATTGAATCTGTTGAATAATAGAAAGTTATGACAGTGAGAAAAAAAACACATAAAATATTTGTCAATCCTAAAGAATATACTAAAAAGTTACTTAGTGGAGAAAGAATAATGAAAGATAAAACACTGTGACAAAAAGAATTCTATGGGCAGATAGCATAGCAAATATTGTAGTTAGGGGCTTTTGCCCTAAGCCGCCAACCCAGCTTAGATCCTCAGCATCCCATCTGATCCCCCAGAGCCTCACCAGCATGGGTTGAATGCCTGCAAGACAAACATTACCATCTTTCCACTCTGTAAATTTAAATATTATCATACCAATTCATACAGGTAGAGAGATTATCAACACTGAAAATAAAAATATAATTTATCGTAATCAAGATTGATAACAAAATCTAATTTTCCATTTTACACCTTTCAACCTCTAAGACCCAGTCCCCATATTCAGTTCTTTTAAATGTTTTACCATTTACTTTCATATTAGTAAGTAACACAGTCTGTTATTTTTTAATTATAAGCTTTTATTCATTGAGGACTTACTAATGAAAATGAGCATTTAAGATTTCTTATATCACTCCACTAAAAACTGACTGCTTCTTAGGTCCTTGCATACTGTCAATCTTAGACATAAAGAATTACTCTTTCCTAATTCATATCCTCATTTTAATAAAGCACTTCTGTAACCTTCCTAATAAAAGGTTGATGAGAGTTAAAGTTTTGGAAACCCGTAAATTGAAATATTTTCTATATACAAAAATATGAAGAAATGTGCAAATATGATGAATGAGTATACTCATCCATATAAACAAATTGTTTAAAATGATTCTAAAATATTTAAAAGTACATATAAAATTTTAAATACAGTAATTCTATTACAACAGTGATACGTTAATATTCACATTCTGTGTGAACTTCTTCTGGCATGTTTTAGGCTGACATATGGTTTTCATAGTTTATTAATCTTTATGCTTTAGATACAGCTCTAGGAAAAAATCCAATTGAATATATTCCAGAAAAGCTTGATTTTAATAGAAACATCTTGATTTTTTTTTTTGCTTTTTGGGTCACACCCAGTGATGCACAGGGGATAATCCTGGCTCATGCCCTCAGAAATAACTCCTGGCAGTGCTCGGGGGACCATATCGGATGCTAGGAATCGAACCCAAGTCAGCCGCATGCAAGGCAAACTCCCTACCCACTGTGCTATTACTCCGGCCCAACATCTTGATTTCTCTGGAGCGATAGCACAGCGGTAGGGCGTTCGCCTTACAAGTGGCCAACATGGCTGACCCGAGTTCGATTCCTCCGCCCCTCTCGGAGAGCCCGGCAAGCTACCGAGAGTATTCGATATGCCAGACACAGTAACAACAAAGTCTCCAATGGAGACGTTACTGGGCCCGCTCGAGTATTATAAAACTATATTATTTTGTTTTATAAGGTATATTTTTTCATTCCAAAATATTTTTAATTTTATATAAGTATGAAAATAGAAGCCTTGACTATTCGGCCTGCATCTGCCTCAGATATGTCCTTTCTTACTTTAGGGTACATTTCTGCAGAATTGTGAAAAGGTCCGCACATACCTGCTTGAGATGTATACTTTGTGCTTTTTTCCACTCTGGAAAAGTCACTCTTTTGAGCATGTATCTTTATTTACCTCTCTCCTTCCTTCCATTCATTTCACTAATAAACTTGTTTTACTGGAATATTTTAAAAATATGAAAATAGTATCTTATGTTGAACCAAAATATTATAATTAAAATGTGCTAAACAGTTGGCTAACAAATAAAAAGCTATTTGTTGGACTATGGAGGGTATTATATTTTGAACAAAATATATTACAGCATGAGACGGAAAAAATTTCATCATTTCTTTTGTTGGAAATGACATAACAAATATTTTACACAATATATTAACAAATATTTTAAAAACATAATGTCCTAAAACTAAGAAGACAGAGCAGAATAATACTGAAAATAGTTACCCTATGTGAAAGTAAAATTTTAAATTTTTATACAAAACCAAGGGTCAAATAGTCCATAAAATATATTTAAAGTACAATAATATTTTTTCTCCCTAAAAGGACAAAAAAGGCTTTGACAAACTAGTGTTTCTACAGTGGTCTCTCAGTGTCATATTAAATTGTATTCCTCTAATATAGATAAAACTGAATTCCTTTCATAAGTTTTTTGTCTGAGACCTTACATGTTTGAAGCTATATTTACCCCCTCACATATAATTTTATGGTTGAGTCCAGAATGCTGGACAAAGCCCCTCAGTCTTTTAAGGCATCATTCTTGTACCTTTGAGTTTCCATACTGTTGCTAAAAATCACTCTATATACTATTTTGTTTCAGTGGAAGCCTTTCGGTTGTCACTAATGCTTAGTGACTCTTGGCTGTCTGTTCATTTACCAGAGTGAAACAATAAAAAATGAAATGGAAGTTCTAAATTAGTGAGAGAACTTTATTAATGGTGAGTCTATTCAGTCATTTTCAGAGGCCCTCCCAATTATATGTGTGTGTATACACAGATATATGCATGTGTTTCATATATGCATATCTCTCACATAAATTATATGTACATATATAGAACAGATAACAAAATCCCTAGAAATTACATATATGCATATAATTTTCTCCAAATTTATCAATGAGTTTGCTAAGGGAGCGATCTATGAATACTGCTTGAGATATATGACTGGCTTTGGAAGCATTCTGGCAAAAAAATCAAGAAAGTCTCAATATTCAGTACATAAGCAATACACTGTTTTCAGTATGGGGAGTCTCACTCCTCTTTATAGCTATATGTAGAGTTTCTGACTCTGATTCACTCTCTCTACAACTGTACTGCCCAATATAGCAGATACTCGATAGCACAGCGGGTAGGGCATCTGCCTTGCACGCAGCCAACATGGCCAACCCGAGTTCGATTCCTCCGCCCCTCTCGGAGAGCCCGGCAAGCTACCGAGAGTATTTGATATGCCAGACACAGTAACAACAAAGTCTCCAATGGAGATGTTACTGGGCCTGCTCGAGCTCGAGCAGATACTCATGCGTATTAATTCAATCAACTAACTTAAATAATTAAACTTTTAAAAAACTAAACTTTGGAGGGTCCAAGAGAAAACAGCAGGCAGAGTACTCAGCCTGTATGTGGCCAAATGGGTTCAATACCCCCTAGTTGTCCTCTGAGTCCCACCAGAAATGATCCCTTAGCTCAGAGTCAGGAATAAGCCCTGAGCATCACTGGGTGCGGCCCCAGAACAAACTAAAGCTAAAAATTGCATTCTTCAGCCACACGATTTTATTTTAAGTGCTATGCAGCCACTATGTTCACTAGGACCATGTAACTACCTGTGCCTGACTGTCCCCACCAGGGCCCAACAGCTGAAGACCTCTGGGCCCCAGCCAAGGCCATGCTGCGACCACTCTCCACAGACTTGGATGAGCCTCACACATAAAAGAACTGGCAGAGGAACCCAGGTGTGTGGGACCCAGGGCTGAGATCTCCAAGCCTGCACGGTTTGGGACTGGACCTGTCAATAGCTAGACAGTTACACCCACCAACTGCCGTGTAACCCCAACAACGGCCAGGATCCAGAGATTATCACACTCAGCTCCCGGAAGCGCCATCTTATCATCTCATTCCTACTTTGGAAAAACTAGCAGGCTACCGAATGTAACCTGCCCACATGGCAGAGTCTGGCAAACTCCCCATGGTGTACCCAATATGCCAAATACCAGTAACAATGAAGGGTCTCATTCTCCTAACTCTGAAAGAGCCTTGAATATGGCACTTTTCTTAAAATTCTCAGGGCTAGGACGAAGGAGACGTTACTGGGGCCTGCTTGAGGCAATCGACAAATAACAGGATGGTTGTGATTGTAACTACTTAAATTTATAAAAATAAAACTAAATTTTAAAAATGTTTCCTTAATCACCCTAGCTATCCTTTAAACACTTAACAGTCAAATGTGGCAAGTGGTTATTGGAGGAACAGTTTCTAGAACATTGTCACTGTTCTGAAAGTTCTATGGGACAGCACTATCTTATCATTATATTCAGAGTTACATTTCCTTTAATACTAATCAGTTCCCTAGTATAATACAGTAAAACAACTTGTCATTTGCCTTCTCCCACAGAGGAAGCTAGTGTCACCTTTTCACATTCTGCTAATGCAGCAACTACAACAGTTTTTATTGGAGTTAGAAACGACAACCCTTTTGAAATGAGTGCAATATAACTTTGAAAGAAGAAAAGGGTGATCCTTCCTCTAGATGTAAACAAACCCTGAATCAGGGAACATAGCTGGGTGTTGAATGCAGGCAGGAACTTTAGAGTCCTGTGGTTCCTAGTCAAACATTCCTATGCAGTGCAAGCTGACTCCAGTGACCACTATTCCACCTATTTTTTATTTTATAAAATTATGCTTACATATCTCCCCTGTTGGCTTCCTTGCATCCTCTTCATCCTTAATGAACTGAATTCTTGGTATGCTCCTTTACTGTCGTTTTAGCAAATTAGACATGTATTTAATCCTAAAACTAAAAGTCTGGATAAAGACTTTGCAAATTACATTTTGTTCTTTCTATTATAATGCCAGCTGTCAGTGCTAAGAATGTTCTTCAATCACACAAAAAATAAGTAGTAAATATATACCTGAGAAGTAGAGAGACTTGAAGGTGAGTAAAAGTTGTTACCTTAAAATATTTCTTTTAGAGTCCAGGGTTTTAGTACAGAGGTAAGGGCACATGCAAGGCATGCAACTGACCTAGATCCAATCACCCAGAATGGTCTCCTAAGCATGCCTTTAGTGTAACTCTGGAGGCCACTGAGTATTACCAGGTGTGGGCCTGGTAAACCCTGGCATTACAGGGCCCAAGCTGCACCCTAACCCAAGAACCTAATACTGAACTGCCAGTCTGGTTGACAAAGTGCGGTCAGGAGTACCCCCTAGACCCTGGAGCACTGCTTGGAAGGTCCAAAATACAGATATATCTCTGGCATAAGGATCATTTTAGGCTGCCTATTAAGTGAAAGCACACATAGTAAAAACTCTAAAGACCACAAAGAACTTATGTTTTGTAAAACGTATTTCTTTTATAAGGATGTCTCCTCCCTCTTTTTAACAGGATGCGGATGATAAACAGATCTACAGAAACTCCAATCAATGAAGAATAAAAGTCACTTAAATCTGTATAACAACTATATCATCATTGCTGTGATTTGTTAAATAACCTTTCTTAACTTGTTCTTCTTCCCACTATATTTTGTCTTTAGCTAAAAATGGTATTTAAGGCAGTGTTGTGTGCCATTTTGGAAGTTAATCAGTTGTTCTACCCAGACCATAACCACAGGAGCTATGCATGATGTTAAACTTGTTTGCTTCTCTTGTGTCCATCTTTTATTATGGAGGATGTCTCTAGTCAAGAAAATACAAATTTAGATGAAAAATTACTTTTCTTTCCTACAGACTACACAGTACTTCATTTTATAATAATATAGATAAGCAGACTTACCAGTTTATAAGCCAGTTATTAGCAGATAGATGAAATCTGGGTTTTCCGAAAACCTATTCTCTAAAAGCTAACCTAAAACCCTGACCAATGTCATAAAGTAACTTCTCAAAAAACTCCTTTAGACAATAATACCTAAAGAACAAATTAGCTCATAATTTCAATGCTTTAATTTTATTAGGAATAAAGAAATATAAGCATGAACAAAAAATAAGTATATTTTCTATTACAAACCTGTGCTGGTGGTACTTGTAGTGGGTTGTTATCCAAAATTATTACTTGTAAATGATGTAGTTTCCTATAACAAACTGGAATTTCGGTCACTTTATTACAAGAGAAATCCAACTTGACTAAAGGAAGATCTCCTAATTCTGTTAATTAAAAAAAGGTAATTAATTATGCTTTACACAGTTGACTCTCTTATTAATTTCAGTAAAAACTGGTGAGCATCTTACCATCTGGCAACACATGAAGATTATTTCTTCTTATATTAAGCTCTCTAAGTGAATGCAATTTTCCCATCTGCTGGGGAAGGACCTGAATCTCATTGCAGCTAATATCCTAAAAGAAACAAAATTATAGCAAAAGAACTGAAAACCACACATACATTTTTTATTGAAGTAGATGGCAAATAGCTTACAAAAATTATCTTAAATATCACTTTCCTCAAGATGGTACATCTCCATCTACATAACTACATAAAGTCAATCCAACATAGTAGATGAAGTTTTCTATGCAAAATATTGAGGCTATGACACTACTATATAAAACAGCACTATGAAAAACTCAACAGAAGTCCAACTGTCATCAACTAAAACCTATATGCTTCAGTAACTTTTCATTAAAAGATAGAAATAGAAGGTAAGTATAAATCATTATGATAATCTTGTCCATTATAATAGTCATTTATATGAACTAGACAACCAAATACTCAGGGTCAGTATTAAAGTAACTTTTTCTCTACCAAGGGATACAAAATATGAATAATCAAAAGCTGTACATTTCAGGGTTGTCATTCTAACCCAAAGACATTCTAGGAGCTCTGATAAATAAATCACAGTTAAGTTAAAATTCAAGCTCTGTTTTACAATGGCCACAAAAAGGCTAGGGGTTATACTCTGGTTTCTCTTCAGATCCTATATATCTTTCACCCATAACAAAAAAGGTTGGGGTGGCCATACTTGTATCAGATAACAAAGACTTAAGGCTTAAAATGTTATAAGAAACAGAGAGGATCATTTCTTAATGATCAAGAGATAGGTACATCAGGAGGAAGTCACTCTCCTAAACATTTATGTACCTAATGAGGGATCAGCAAAAACAGTTAGAACAACTGTTAATAAACTTGATGGAAGACACTGCTAGTAACACAATTAGTCACAGTTAGAGACCCCAATACTGCTCTGTCACCTCTCATAACATCAACTAGACTAAAAGTCAGCAAAGAAATATTGTCTTTGAAGGAAAAAATGATAGAGAAAGGTGGCTTTTCATCCTCAAAACCAAGTACACATTTTTCTCCAATGCACATGAGACATTCTCCAGGATATGCCACAAGCTGGGCCACAAAACATACTTCCATAGCAACTATCTTCTCTGAACAGGATCCACTTAAAATAGAAGTTAATCACATACAGAAACAAAGAAAAAATTCAAACACCTGAAAATTAAGTAGCTCGGTACTGAACACTAGAGGATCAGGGAAGAGACAAGAGAGGAAAAAAAAGATTGCTGGCAGCAAACAAGAATGAAAACACATACTACCAGAACTTATGGGACACAGCAAATACAGTATTAAGAGAAAAGTTCATAGCTTACACATGCAAGCATCAGGAAGGAAGGGAGGGACCATATAAATAACTAAACCACACAACTTAAGACACTGGAAAACATCCGATAAAAGCAGCCTAAAGGAAGGAAATAATAAATCTTAGTGCAGAAATTAATGAACTGGAATCCAAAAGATTCATGAAACCAAGAGCTGGTTCTTTGAAAAATAATCAACATAGATAAACCAATAGCAAGACTCAGAAAGAAAGAGAACCCTAAATAACCAGACCAGAAATGAAAGGGGGTATGCCACAACAAATACCACAGAAATTCAACAGATCATCAGGGATTACTTTGAAAATCTTTATGCCATGAAACAAAAATCACTGTCACTGTCTTTCCGTTGTTCATTGATTTGCTTGAGCGAGCCCAATAACGTCTCCATTGTGACACTTTTTACTGTGTTTGGCATATCAAATACATCACGGGTAGCTTCCCAGGCTCTGCCATACTCTCACTAGCTTGCCGGGCTCTCTGAGAGGGACAGAGGAATCGAACCTGGGTCGGCCAGGTTGGCCACATGCAAGGCAAACACCCTACCTCACTGTGCCATCGCTCCAGCCCATGAAACAAAAATAAATATATAAATTCTTGGACTCATATTACCACCCCCAAGGCTGAGCCAAGAATATATGGCATACCTGAACAGACCTACCACTATTTAGGAAATAGAAATCATAATCAAAAGTTTCCCCAAATCAAAAGCCCAGGCCCAAATGCATGCACCAGTGAGTTCTTTTAAAGTTTTAAAGAGAGTTACTGGGACTGGAACGATAGTACAGCGGCTAGGGCGTTTGCCTTGCACACAGCCAACCCAATTTGAGTCCCAGCATCCGATATGGTCTCCTGAGTACCACCAGGAGTAATTCCTGAGTGCATGAGACAGGAGTAACTTCTGTGTATCGCTGGGTGTGACCCAAAAAGCAAAAAATAAAATGTTATTGCCAATTTTTTTGCATCTTTCAGGAAATTGAAGAAACAGAAACACTTCCAATTTCTATGAAGTAAACATAACCCTGATACTGAAAGCAGAGAGACAACATAAAAACAGATGTACAGATTGATATCCCTAATGAACATAGATGCATATATCTTTAACAAAATACTAGCAAATTGAATCCAACATCTCATGAAAAAGACCATGCACCATGACCAAATAGGATTTATACCACGGATACAAGGGTGGTTTAACATAAGGAAGTCAATCAACATAATCTATCATATTAATAAAATAAAAAATAAAAATCATATGATATATCAATAACTGCAGAGAAAGCATTTGACAAGATCCAGCACATATTTCATGATTATAAAAAAATCCCTCTCAGTAAAATGGGAATTGGAGGAACTTTCATCAACATCGTCAATGTAAGTTACCACAATCCCACAGTAAACATTATACTCAATGGAGAAAACTGAAAACCATGTCTCCAAAATCATGCACAAGACAAGGTTTCCCACTCTCATCGTTTTTATTCATTGTAGTACTGGAAAAACTTGCCAGATAAATTATACAAGAAAAAGATTTTAAGGACATCAGACAGGAAAGGAAGTCAAGCTTTCACTATAGATAATGTTACTATATTTAGAAAACTGCAAAAAAGCTCCTAGAAATAGATTTGTATAGTAAAGTGACAGGCTACAAAATTAATGTACAAAAATCCATGACTTTCCTATATGCAAATAATGAAACAGAAGAACTATATAAAAAAATACAATCCAGTTCACAATTGTGACTCAGAAAATCAAGAAACTATGAATTGGCTAAACTAAAGAAGTTGATGATAGACTTACACAAACATAATCACAAAAGAGTACTTAAATAAAAGAGGACATGAGGAAATGTAAGTACATCCCATGCTCATAAATTGGGAGGATTAATATCATCAAAATGGCAACACTACCAAAGCATTATACAGATTGAATGCAGTACCTATAAGGACACTCAGACACTCAAATGCAGGATATAAAGGAACATAATAGGGGAATACCTAATGCAAAATAGCAATAAAAATGAAAAGTAGGAAAATTGATCTTTAGTAGAATGCTTGCCATTATGAGGGGAAGGACAACTAGGACAATAATAGAAAGAATTAGTCACTCTGGACAAGGACTGGTTGCTGAATGGAGGTAAAGTGATATGCATAATTCCCTATTGGTAACAGTATTATAAACCACCATGCCTAACAGTAAAAATAAAAAGGAATAAGTGCCTGTCATAGAGGCAAGCTTGGTGGCAGAAAGCAAACTGGGGAGACTGGTGGAGGAAAGTGTACACTGGTGAAAATATTGGTGCTGGAATATTGTGCACCTGAAACTTAGTCATAAATAACTTTGTAACTCTGTAATTCAATTTTAAAAAATTAAAGCTCTTGCCACAAGTGTGTGTATGGTTGGGGGAGAGGGGTGAAGAGCACAGGTAAAGGGATACACCTGATAAACTTTCGTTATCTGTACTGCAAACCATAAGGCCAAAAATGAAAGAAAGAGAGAGGGAAAGAGAAGAGAGAGACACAGAAGAGCGAAAGAGCGAGAGACAGAAAAGAGAAAGAGAAAGAGAGAGAGAGAAGAAGAGTGCCTGCCATAGTGGCAGGCAGTGGGACTGAGGGCAGAGGGAAACTGGGACAATTGGTGGTGGGAAAAACATACTGATGAAGCGATGGGTGTTGAAACATTAAATGACTAAAATCCAATCATGAACAACATTTTACATGTGTTTATCACTGTAATTCAATTAAAAATGTTAAAAATAAAATGCAAAAATTAAAATAAATAAAGCTGTTTTAAAGGTAAATAATACATTTAAATAAGAGAATAAAAAATACCACTAACTGCAATTGCTTCCCTTTCCCCTACCTCATAAGCACACACATAAAAAAAAAACCTGAACCAAGTTCTTAGCAGTCAATTCTAGAAATCCTGCAAATGAAACTCATATTCTACTGTACTCACCTCCAATTTCCAATATACAGAGAAACCACTATTAATTTTGGGAAAAAAGGAGAAGTGCACACTTAATTAGTTTATAATTAGTGAAAAGGGCTAAAAACTACATTCAAAATAATTAGTATTTATTAGGAGGGGGTTGTTGTTTGATAAAATGGAGAGAAGACTCAATATTTTAGAGCTACCTGAATGGATATTATTATTATCTATATTCCTACATCACCTATACTTCTACAATAGTAGTACAAAGTTTGATGGATAAGTAATAGGACATATAACTAAGTTCAAAATTATTGAAAACCATAATGCCCAAAAGGAGAGGGACAGAGGCAGAGACAGAGACAGAGACAGGGAAGGAAAGTACCTGAAACATATGCAGGCTGGGTGAGGGGAAAGGGTGGATTGTTTTGTCTTTCTTGCATAGCCTCAGATAGTTTAGGTTTATTGGGTTGCTCCCATCACAGTGCTCCCTTTCCTCTGTGTTTATTTGTAACTTCTTTCTTTGTGCTCTGTTGACTTGTAAATATTGTTTTTCTCTTCTCCCTAAGTCCTTTGCATAGTTTATTCAGAGAAATGTCCTTTTTGTATGGACACAAGAAGACAGTATATGCTATGATTCTGTAATGTGACTCTCAGTGATATTTCCCTCCTGGGCATCTGTTCTCTCAATTAAGCTTCAGCTGCCTTTACTTCCTAGCACCCCCAAAAGCAGGGTCCCGACAAAGGGACTGGATGAAACCAGGGCAAGCGGTAAGCTATGTGCTACACTGGCATCGAGATGGGCCTAGCCAAAGCACCATAATGCTTAACTATAAGTTAAGAGCTTGGTCATGGACAAATGCTGTCATGATCCAAAAAGTAATAACTAGATTTGGACCCTGCTAGGGTTAGGAATGATCAATCTGGCCTGAGCACTGTAGTCTGAGTCTGTGGCAAGGTGTTCCCAGGAGAGCTGCCCTACAAGCCTCAATGGTATCTCTTACTGTGTCCATACAAAAATTACTGGTATTAAGATGTTGGTAGAGTTATTGGACTGAGGGAAGGAGAAAAACACCTTAGGAGGTATTTTGCCCTTGGGCAGACAGAAAGGGCTTTAGAATACCTTTTAGGTGGGCCCTCAGGAAGGGCTTTCTTATGTTGATTTTGCTACCTGACTGGGTGAAGTGTCAGCCCAGAGTGCTGGGGAGTTGGAGAGAAGAGAGATGGAGAGAGAGAGGCAGGGCAGCATGATGAACCAAGGAGAGGCTAGCAAGGGGGACAGAGGGAGAATGTAGAAGAATACAGGAGCAAGCACGTGGAGAGAGAGAGAGAGAGAGAGAGAGAGAGAGAGAGAGAGAGAGAGAGAGAGAGAGAGAGAGGAGAGAGAGAGAACCCAGGCTGCTAGATGGAGCGGGGAGAGATGAGCGGGAGAGACAGAATGAGACAGGAATGAGAGACAGTGAGAGACTAGAATGGGAGGCTCAGAGAGACTGGGGCAGGTGCGTGGGGAGAATGGAATGAAGAACATCTGATTAATCAACCAGCTTGGCTCTCATTTTGTCCACTGTCTACCCCATGGCCCAGGCCACTACGGCTGGGTGAGTGCCCCACCCCCCGAATGGAGGTGGCGAGGGGGAGAGCCTTCAGGGCTCCGCTGGATACCCTTAAAGATTTTATATAGTGGATAGAGTTCAACTTGGACCTTGGTGGTGGGAAACTAAATGTACACTAAATGTACACTAGTGAAGGGACAGGTGTTGGAAAATTGTATGCCTGAAACCCAATGATGAACAACTATGTAATTGTGTATATGACAATGTAGCGCTGTAGCACTGTAGCACTGTCCAGCACCCGTGGTGGTGGAAAATGGGCACTGGTGTTTCAATAATACAATGATCAAATACCCATCCCTCCACCAGTGCCCATTTTGTGGTGAAAAATGGGCACTGGTGGAGGGATGGATATTTGATCATTGTATGATTGAAATACAAGCACAAAAATTTGTAAGTCTACAACTGTACCTCATGGTGTCTCACTAATAAAAATTATATATATATACACACACCTATGTATTTGCCTTTGAGGGCTGTTTGGAGGTTCTAGCAGGGGAGCACAGCTACCTGTGTACCCTCAACCAAAAAATGGTCTGTCTCCATTGAGGAAGGCATTCCTCTTTGACCGAGAGCACAGCTTCAGGTGGGACTTACATGGACTGGTGAGGGAGGAAGGGGACACTCACCTACCAAGCCAGATCAGTCAAATCAACTCTGGTGATAAATAGGATGACAGACATCACAGCCAGATCACCCTTCTACAGTATGAGACTAATATCCAAGGACAGTTGAAACAAGGGCCAGGAGGATTGGTCCACAGCTGGAAGCTGGCCACAAGTGGTGCGGGGAGGGGGAACAGGGGGGCAGTTAGAATAGAGAAGGGACCACTATGACAATGATAGTTGAAAATGATCACTCTAGACTAGAACTGAGTGCTGAAAAGAGGTAAAGGGACAAACATAGTGACTTTTCAGTACCTGTAGTGCAAACCATAATGCCAAAAGGAAAGAGAGAGAGGAAGAGAAAGAATGAGAAAGAGGAGGACAAGTAGGAGGAAGAGGAATTGGAGGAAGAAAAGGAAGAGGAGGAAGAGGAGGAGGGGGGAGGAGGAGGAGGTGGAGGAGAAGGAGAAGGAGGAGGACAAGGGGCAAGGGTGTTCAAACATTGTATGACTGAAACTCAATCACAAACAACTTTGTGACTGTATCTCACAGTGATTCATTAAAAATTTAAAAATAAAATTTGTACTGGGAAAGGATTACTAAAGTAAAAAAAAAGAAAATAATGACAGTTAAATGCTGTTCTGCAGTGAAGTAGCTCAAGTGCTCAACACCTGCCTAGTATGTTACTGATCCTGAATTCATCCTCAGCACTGTACTGGATGTTCATGAGCCCCAAGCACTATTGTATATGGCTCTGGTGTTCTACAGCAATACCAAATGTGCATACCCCCCGTAACCACCAGCCCAGCAACCAAATGTGATGTCGGCAGAGTTCTGCTGAGAAGAATCTCTATAAATAAATAAGGAAATGGTTGAATGTTTTGAGGACCTGATCACATTTCTCTCAATTTTATACTTAAAATATTATATTCAGAGCAGGAGAGATAACTCAACAAGCTAGAGTGCATGGCTAGCATGCAGGGACTGTGCTCTATTCCTCACATCACACGGTCCCTGAGTACCACAGGAAGAGATCTGTGAGCAGTGCCAGATATGATCCAAATAAAAAATAATAAATATTAAAAGTATTATTCTAATATTTCTCAAATCACTATATGCTAAGGCAAATTTCCATTTATCTTGGTCCCAAAATAGTTACAAAATCAATTACACACACACACATGCACACACACACATACACACATATGTGTATATATATATATATAAATTACAGAGAAGTTCAATAGAGACATTAGCAATATCTCCAAATATAAAGGTACATATTATGAAGACCATACACAGTCAATAAAACTACTTTACTTACCAATTCCATTAAATCTTTTAGCTTCCCAATTTCTTCTGGAATAGATACCAGTTTATTATTACTGACCACCAAAACTTTAAGGGGAAGATCAAATAGGTATTTTGGCAATGTTGATAGAAGATTTCGGCTGAAATGAATAAAAAAAACGTATAACAAGTGTTTCTAAGCTTGAAAAGAACAAATCACTGCAAAAAGACAGATTTAACTAAATAATAACAATCTCATAATACATAAACGTGTATTATTAAAATCCTTACATGCACCAGCTCATCTCTTCCTCACATTTAACCCCACAAGATAGGTGGCATTACCTCTGCTATACTGATGCAAAAGCAAAAGTTAAAATTGGCAAAGTGGGGACTAAACTAGAGTAGAGTATGTAGGGCATTTGCCTTGCACATGGCCAAGCCAGGTTCAATCCCTGGCACCATATCTCTACCCTGAGACCCACCAATAGAGATTCTTGAGCTCAGAGCCAAGAGAAGTCCTGAACAGTGTTGGATGTGGCCCAAAAGTGAAACAAATGAACAAACAAAAATCTGGTTAAATGATTTGCCCAGGTACAGCTAAGTACAGTCTGTGTTGTTATCTATGATATCGCTAATTCTAACTCATAATCATTCTTCTGAGCTAGATAATCATTTAACATCTGATATAATGTTACTATCTTCAATACTGCCATGCCTTAAACTAGGAAACAGCATCAAAAATTAATTCACATGCGCTATATTCAAATTTACAAAATAATGAATCAAATCACAGCTTCAAAACCATGCAGTAATCTACTAGTTTATGGTAGAACAGCCTACTAACAACTGTATCTCATCTTAGAGTTAATAAGCATTCCTAACTTTATGATTACAACAGAAGGGTGAAGATTTATTGAGTAGTTAAGTGCCAAATTCAGAGCACCTTCTCTGAATTAACTCCACTAACCCTATTAACAGCCTAGTTTTAGAGGATAAGTACTATAATAATTCCCATTTTACAAACGAAAGGTCAAAAGAAACAGAGTAAACTCACACTCACAAAGTTTTTAAGTGGGAGAGCCAGAATTCAAATCCAGGCCACTGCCAATGATCCCAGGCAATACACATCTGGGGCATTTGCCCTTAAACTTCTACAGTCAAATTTAAATGTTAATTCAAACTGAACCACAGATTCTGTTACAAACTAAATGATTTTATTCACCCATACTTTGCCAAAGATCATATGTTGAGACCTAATTATTAATGTAATGGTGTCCACAGATAAACATCTAAGAGCAAATAAGGTCATAGGGGCACAGCTCTCAAAAATGGTATTAGTGCCCTCATAAAAGAGACCCCTCAAAGATCCAAAAGATTTCTTCTCCCTTCTACCAGTGAGAACAGAGAAAAAAACAGCCAAATATGAATTAAGAAGTGGGCTCTCAACAGACACCAAATTTCATCAGATTCTAGATTTTCTAGCCTCCAATACTCTTTAAATTGCTGTTTTTTTAGGGTGTTCATATAATTTATTACGCAAACCAGGGAGGCAAGAGACAATATTAGTTGCTTCAAACAGCAGTTCAAAACTGGCATGATCCTGGATGTGCAATTGCCTTGTCAATAACCCATGTGTTAGGCACTGTACTAAGCACTAGGGTCAAGGTGGAAAACAAGGCAAAAATAGTTCCTGTCATCATGGAGTTTATAGTCAGATGGGAATTACAAACATTGAATAAGAAATTATAACTGTGATTGAGTGTTGCTTAAAAGAAAACTGTTGTTCTTTTTAAGTCACCTAGTCTATGGCATTATAACAGCCTGAAGAGCCTAAAACTATCTCACTAACAAAACCATAAATTATATCGTTAAAGTTTCATACTATTGATGTAAGCAGAGAGATTGGGAAGGGTCCCCTCAAAAATAAAATTCCTAGGAAGGAATAAAACCGATAGCTCCAAAGCTATAAAGAGCCCATCTTGTGAGCTCAGGAGCCTAATAAGAGTTCACCTGGCTGGAAGAAACCTGAATGCCCAAGAACAGATGACTGGTTAAAGAAACTTTGGTACATCTACACAATGGAGTACTATGTAGCTGTTAGAAAAGATGAAGTCATAAAATTTACATACAAGTGGTACAACATGGAAAGTATCATGCTAAGCGTAATGAGTCAGAAAGAGAGGGATAGACATAGAAAGATTGCATTCATCTGGGGGATATAAAGTAACAAAATAAGAGATTAATACCCAAGAATAGCTGAGATCAGCACCAGGAGGATTACTCCATAGCTTAGAGGCCAGCCGGGCATTCTAGGGGAAAGGGCAGCTCAGATAGAGAAGGGAGCACCAAATAAAGGGTATTTGAAGGATCCTCCCAGGAGGGGAGATGCATGTTGAAAGTAGACTATGGACTGAACATGTTTGCCACTCAATGCCTCTTTTGCAGACCACAACACCCAAAAGGAGATAGAGAACAAAAGGGAATGCCCTGCCACAGAGACAGGGTGGGATGGGGGGGGGGGGAGAGAGGGATATTATCCATGGTGGTGGAAAGTGGGCACTGATGGAGGGATGGGTATTTGATCATTGTATAATCGAAACCCAAGCACAAAAAACTGTAAATCTACAACTGTACCTCATGGTGTTTCACTAATAAAAAGAAAAAAAAAAGAGTTCACCTGGGTGCCAATAGATCCAGAGAAGGCTGGACCCCAGAGCAAATGAGCTTCCAGCAAGAACAAAGGCCATGGAAAGGAATTTCAAAGAAGATAATCAACCATTTCCAACTCTACCCACTTGGCAACCACCCTAGCAACGGACTCTTACCTTGCTAGAAGCTCCATGTGGGGCAGCTTGGGGAAAAGTCAGTAAAAACCAACTTGAACAAATGAAGTGCCTCAGCCAATGTGCTGTTTGTGTCCACACAGCGAAGCATCGGTGGTGCCTGAGCACATGTGACCCCACATAATCCCTCTTGAGATGTGTACTAGGGCTCTCTCCACCTTTGGAGAAGTTTGCGTTCTCTTGTGAGCATGTTCTCTCTTGAGCTTCTTTCTCTCTCCCTATTCACCTGCCTCAAAGCCTACAAATAAAATCTGTTTTTAATTAACTGCTCATCTCCTCCTGACATTCTCTCATGTGAAGACAAAAGACCTGTAAGACCTGAGTGAGGCCCAGTGTAATGACAAATAAGAAATTGCAAATAAGAAACTGTAAGAAATAAGAAATATAATGAGAATTATGAAAACATAATGAGAACTAAGAAAATGTAATGTGGACTGGGAAAGTGAAACTGACCCCAAGGTTAACCAGAAAAGGTAAAAAGAGTTTTTCCTTTGTATGATCCATCAGCTGGGATAAGGGACTACGAGATATATGGAAGAGCACTAGGCCCGCCAGTCTTATGGGAGTGCACAAGAGGCAACACATGAAGGCCACACCAAATGGGCAAGGGATACTGACACAGACTTTTGGGGGGGCACCTGAAGGCTGGTGTTTTTTTCTTTTGTAGATTATAGCTCACTCTTAGAGAATAAAAGACCTTCTCAGCAAACAGAGCCCCAAAGTCACTTTCTCTTTCAACTTGGGGTCCTCTAATAAACTTACTAATTTCTTTCAATTGAATCACTGTGAGATAGTTACAAAGCTTTCATGATTGAGTTTCAGTCATTGGTGATGAGAAATGTACACTGGTGAAGGGATGGGTGTTCAATCATTATAAACTCAATACAATATCTTCTCTCTCTCTTCTCTCTCTCTCTCTCTCTCTCTCTCCATCCATTTGCCGAGCTGCCACCACATTTCAGGGTCCCATGGAGGGGGTAAAAAGAGTATAGCCTCTTTTCCTTTTACTTTGGTGTGAATTCTGAACATGTAAGTGAGTGACTGAAGAGTGACTGAATAAGGCCTCATGGCTTTGGCTACGGAGTCTGAGTGGGCTCCAATCTGAGATTTCGTGGATCCTATAACGGCTGAAGGAGACTTGCCCCTGCAAGGGAGCAACCTGGTAAGGGAATCATACCTGTGCTCCAACTGCCAAGGGAACCTAAAGATCCCACGAGGGGTCGGGTCGGGCAAGCACAAGGTACTTGCCCACCCCACCCCCTCTCTGACCCATTCTGTTCAGTCTTCTATAAAAGCTAATTCTTTCTTCTCCTTGGGCCCCACCGAGCAACAGATATCCCAGTTCTGGATCAGGATTACTCAGGTAAAGATATGGTTTGAAAATTCTGGGAGATCTCGTCTATTATTTTGGGACCTAAAAACAGGATCGCTGGACACAGCATAAGTTCCCAGAGTCATCTGTGAAATCCTCTGGGTATTTTGGGCTTTCGGTTCCCAAAGGCCAATGCCCTCTATTTCTCTGTTCCTTGTATTTTCCTTGGCTGCCTAACTGTCATTCTCTTGCACAGTGAGAGGTCTTCCACCAGGTCAACTATGGGCAACTGGACATCCAAGAATGCCACACTGCAAAGCGCCATGGTTGATTACTGGAATGCATGAGAAAGACAGGAAGACATTTGGGGGCAGACTTAGATCTGTTTGCTCTGAGAACTGCAGCTGCCAGTCCTAGCCTTACAGAAGTACCGGTTCTGCCTCCCTTTGAGGTGGCCCAGCATCCTGCAGTGCTTCTGCCTAGAAGCTGCTGCTAGTTTGCTGGCTCCTCCCTGCTTTGAGGCAACTCAGGGCCCTAGGCCCTGTTGCACTCACTGATTAGCCTCCTGTTTGGATAGCAAGAGAGCTCTAGGGCATTCCACAGGGCCTCATTCACAGTCCTTGCTATGCCCTGGGCATTTTTCTCACTGGGAGTGGAGAGAGGCCAAGGTGAGGGATCAATATATGAGGGGTTTGACTCCCCTCTGGAGAGGCAAAGGTGAGAGATCTGAAGAAAAGTTTTGCCAAGGAAGCATCCTGTTTAGGTTGTCTTCTCTTTTTCTTAGGTTATTTCTGGCACTCAGGAAATACAGCCAATTCTATATCTATACCCAAAGATTCCCCTTAATAAGCATATTAAAACATTGGAAGATAGTTTAATGAGAAAGTTCAAATAAGGAACATCTTGCTACTCTCTGTAACACAGTGTGGCCTGAGTATAAAGCATGGGGAAAGGTGGCCAGTGAATGGCAGCTTGCATTATCAGATCATTTTTGCAGTTATAT